CGGAACGTCTTCCAAAGCTCAGGTTCATCCGCTCCTGCTCTTCGGCGCTCTCGCCCTCCACCTTCCACGCCATCGAGGAGGCCTTCCAAGCTCCCGTCCTCGAGGCCTACGCCATGACCGAGGCCTCCCATCAGATGACCTCCAACCCTTTACCTCCGCTCAAGAGGAAACCCGGTACGGTCGGCTTCGGTCACGGAGTCGAGGTCAAGATCCTAGACTCGAAAGGGTACGAGGTCGCCCAAGGTGAGGAAGGCGAGGTGGCCGTCAGGGGAGCCAACGTGACCAAGGGTTACCTCAACAACGAAAAGGCCAACAGGGAGAGCTTCGTCGTCGGTTCGGAGGACGGAAAGGAGGGACCGATGGAGAACCGAGGATTCTTCAGGACGGGAGATCAAGGAAAGAAGGACGCCGACGGTTACGTCCAACTCACGGGTAGGATCAAGGAGCTGATCAACCGCAGCGGGGAGAAGATCAGCCCGTTGGAGGTTGACGCGGCTCTCCTTTCGGTCCGAGGGGTAGGGGAGGCGGTCTCGTTCGGAATGGCTGACGAACTGTACGGCGAAAAGGTGGGAGCCGTGGTGGTGCTCAAGAAAGGGTTCGAAGCGACGGGGGAGAAGGAGATCAGGGAGCAGCTCAAGGGAAAGATCAGCCACTTCAAGATCCCGGAGAGGATCTGGATCACGGAAGCCATCCCAAAGACGGCTACGGGAAAGATCCAGAGGAAGAACGTCTCGGCCACGTTCGCCAGGAAGGATGGTGCCAAGTTGTGATCAAGTGTTTCCAGTGTCCCCGTCTCCCTCTCTGAAGTCTTGTCGAGGTTTTCTTCCCCTTTCTTTTTTTTTTTTTCCCGCATCTTCCTCCACTCTCTCTCCCTTATATGCTTTGCCTACCCCCTTCCCTTCCTATCGAGGGGTTTTTGTCGTTATTCGAGAAGAAAAGATGAAAAAGCAAAACGAGTTAACGCTCGAAATCAGATCCAAGACTCTCCCCCTCCATTCACTCTTCCCCCTCCATTCCCTCTTCCCCCCCCCCAAAATCCGCTCCTTCGCCAATCGACGAAACGA